AATTCCTCAATTATATTTCAGTGCAATTCAGAACAAATTAAACTTGCATTAGACAGGCACGCGGGTCCCTTGAACTTGAATGTTTGGGAATTTTTATTTTCGTTATCGTATTAGTGATTACGTTCCTTTTAAAACGAGTAAATTCGATATATGTGTACGTTATTGTATGAAAAGAAACATGTCAGCACTAGAACATAGCTGACAACGAGGGTGAGAGCGAGAATGGAGATGTAATTTGTATTACAAATACACAAGCTCAACGGATCATAATTAGGAATGTTTCTGTTGCTGAAAATCTAGTAATTTGTCAGATAAAGAATTAAAACAGCTTCAGTAAATCTCCGATCACTGAATTTAACTGAATACCGCCAAAGAAAGACATAGTAACTATGACTAGGCAACATGACTACGCACATTGGGCGCAGCATGGTCGCCGCCATGACAGATTTTCTAACCGGACGACCGGCATTCGGCAATGCCATGTGACGGAAATGTTAAACATTCCTACAATTCACTACTAACGCTTACATTACAGCAATGCTTATATCTTTATTTTACACTTACCATTTTGTGTCCTGATGTTATCACCGGACGTTCTTTCGCCGCTAACCGTGAGTGCTGACATCTTGAAAAGCAATAGAATGTCGAAGATTCCCGAAAGCCGGCCGATCAACGATCGAAAGGTTAACCCTGAAGCACACACTAATCGTTTGAGGGCGCTGTATAATAAACACCCACCTGCCAGACAACCTGCTAACCTCCGGACCTCAGTCGAGTCAGTTGTTTTGACTTTTGTTGCTGTGGTTGACACTTTTGTGGTATATTCATTGTAATCTATTTATGTCATCATGATGAACTTTTCAGGATCAGTACTTCGCACTTTACCCAGGTTTACTTGCAGACGATATATTGTTCCCGGCGTCAGAATGCTAAGCGAAGATTCAAGTAAGCTCTCACTGTCGTGTTAACAATTTCGGCTTATTAGAACTTGAAGTGATAGGTGCTCAACAAGGAGTACTCAATATTTTATACATTTCATTAGCGTATTGCCTGCGATGGTCCCAGACCGACGATGTACCTTTCAGTTACTTTAGCGATGAGGGTGTGGATACGAATATAAATTAGAATAGTTTGGACTGCAATTGTTGTGTGTGATTCAGTTTGTGTTGTAGAACTTCATTCACGTTCGATTATTTTTTTTTCTCGTCATTTGCCCTCTCAGACTCGACTCGGTTGCAGCATGGAACTATAAACCCATGGTTCCAGTTTCTAAAAATAAATAACGTTATCAGAAATAACACGTCTATGTCAATAGAATCAGTCATTGGTGTGCTGTACTTTACTCGGCTGAAGCTAGCAGACACTCCCAGCAGACAGTGGAAGCTAGCAGACACACTAGCACCCACAGTCTAAAAGGCATAATAATGCTTTGTATCAAAGTTTATCACATCTTTTTGCATCACGTAATCATAGTTTGACATCAATATATTAATGTAAATGGCTAATATTCATTTAAACAAAGAAAATCTAACAAATGTACTCACTCCCCCTGAAAGTGTATCTCTATGTGCGTGTATATAAACACTATTCCCAATATTTTTTGAGAAATATTGAGTGTGCACCTTATCGACTTATATGGTATGAAACATACATGTATTGATTACAATTTGTGATAGGTGACATTTAATAATTAGCAGACAATTTTAAAATATGGAAATCATAATTATGGTAGAACTGCTCTTTTTGCTAGCAGACACTAATTAAATCACAAATTACAGTTAAAATATTGAGTGTGCACCTTAACCACCTATGTGGTATGAAACATACATGTATTGACTACAATTTGTGATAGGTGACAGTTAATAATTAGCAGACAATTTTAAAATATGGAAATCATAATTGTGGTGGAACTGCTCTTTTTGCTAGCAGACACTAATTACAGTAAAAATATTGAGTGTGCACCTTAACCAC